ACAAGAACTTTAGGCCAGTGATGACAAGTACAATAATCCTTCAGTTGCCCCAAGTCCCAGCCCTAGCTGGAGTCAGGATCCCCAACACTGGGATCCCCAAATCCACATCTATGGCTTCCCAACCTCCCAGCACTGTTGGTTCATTCATCTTTCCCAATGACCAGACCATAAACTCTTTGCAGGCAGAAATTCTGTGTCTTTCCTTCATTCCATTTATCGCTGACATCCAGTACTGTATCTGGCACCCAGGAATTGCTAAATAAGTACCTATTGGTTGGTGAAATTGAGGCAATAAAATCAGCTGAATGAATCAGCTCTTCTTAGGAGTGGTCCTACAAGGGAAATACAATGGAAACAAATGGATTGGGGGGTCCTCACTGTTTGCTTGTTTGGGCTTGGCCAATGCCTCAGATCATAGGCAACATGATTCTATCAGTGGACTCGCTGTCTGCATTTCATGGTAAGCAGCTATTCCCAGCAGCCCTTCCTGCCTCCAGGATAAATACCTGCTTGCTCAACAGTGTACCTAATTAGAGGCACCCCTCAGCAGCTGCGGGGGCCTCAGGAGGCCAGTCACCAAGCTGTGCCCTTGGTCACTGGAACCTAGACAACATAGAAGGCAGCTAAGCACAGGGCACCTGGCAGCCAGGAGACACCCGGGAGCTCAGCCGAGTTAGATCCCAGGAGCTTTGCTCCAAATTCCCTGCTTGGCCAGCCCTGCATCTGTGTGTACAAACCAATGCCACATTTCTTAATGTGTGTGAAACTGGTGGGGGATGGGGAGAAGCAAAGAAAAACTGGGGAGTAAATATATCCTTCTTTATGAAAAACAACAGGGCAGTTTGGATAAATGCTGATGAGGTTTTCTTGAATATATTGTAATACGAGTGAACACTTACAGAGCATTGCTATACGCCAGGTTCTAACCTCTTGATATGCATTAAATCATTTAATTTTCTCAAGGCCACTATGAGGTGAGCACCATTATTATCTCTATTACAGATTCATAAATGGAGAAGCCCGAGTGAGATTAAGGAGCCTCCCCACAGCTGCCCCCCAGCCAGGAAGTGACACAGCAGGATGCAAACCTCCAGTCTGACTCAGCCCAGGATCTGAAGCTCTGCACTTCCACCCCGAGAGGGAGGGGCAGCGCTCTGCACTCTGGTCTGCCAGCATCCCCTCATGATGCAGGATGCATGCAGTCCAGGCAGGTGCTTTCTACCACACTAAGAACACGCTCTCTGTATGAATGCCTAGTCCCTCTCTGTCTGGTCAATTATTGCCATGCATTAATGAGAGTCTATTGGTGCCAGATATTCCAGTATTTCAAAAGAAGGCAGAAATCTAGATTTTTTTTTTTAATTGGGGATAAGGAAGAGGAGGAATCACAGAAGGTTTTAGCCACGACTGTTCTGATAACAAAAATTAAGTGGCATTAAGAGGAAAAGGTTTGGAGATGACTGTCCAGTTTTGACATGCTGAGTTTGTGGTGCGAAAGATGCCCACAGGGCTGGGAGCACCTTGGGGCTGGAGCTTGGACCAGGGGGTTCAGACACAGAGAAGACTCTGGTGACTGTGTTAACAGACTTACGCGGAACTGAGACTTCAATCTCATCTAACAGAGGATTATCTAAAACACCTCATCTTGTTTGTTGTGAACAAAGTGGAAACATCAGGCTGGAATTAGTTTCCTGGGCTAGCCATAATTAAGTACCACAAGCTGAGTGGTTAAATCAACACAAGTTTACTGTCTCCCAGTTCTGGAGGCTGGAAGTCTGAGTGCTTTTCCTGAGTGTTCTAGGGAAGGAAGTGCTCCGGGTATTCTTCTGGCCCCTGGTAGTTCCCTGACTTGAGGCAGCAAAATTTCAATTTTCACATGGCATTCTCCCTGCATGTGTGTTTCTAAATTTCCCTTTGAGAACACCAATCATAGCGGATTGAGGGACCCATCATACTCCTATATGACCTCAACTAATTATATCTGCAATAACTCTTCCAAATAAAGTCACATTCTAAGGTAAAGTTGCATGGCTTTTGGAGACACAATTCAATGAAGAACAAAACTCTAAGCAGAGGTTTCATTTCTTCCAGAGTCAGGATCCCTGAGAACAGGATTAAGGCATGTCATCACTCAGCTCTGGAAAACTGCCATGTTTAAATCTCCACGCAGGAGATTTTTAAAAATGAATTAGATGCCAGTTCTCCAGGGCATTCCAAGAGAGCTGGAGAAAGGAGACATGAACAACTATGCTACAACTAAATATACCGCCTAAGAAATAAGACTTAGCCACACATATCAACCTGGCAACACGGATTAAAGCCTTAAAAGCACTTGCTGTTTTGATTCTAGGGATTTATCCTAAGGAAATAACCGCTGATATGTGTAAAAAATATGGGTATTTAAGAATTTGGCCTCTAAAAATCAAGCAAATTTAAATTTATCTTTTCTAATTCAGTCACCTAATATTAGGCAAATTACCTGAGTTTCTTCATCTATTAAATAGACACAATGATATCATCACTGCATAGCTTTACAGGCAGCAAAAGTGAGAAAGTAGATAGAAGAAATCTAGCAATGTACCAAAATCAGTACAAGGTCACAAACACCATTAGCTATTATTGTAATCAGGTAAGTAAATCAGGATATTTCAATAAGTAGACTACTGCTTAGCCATTTAAAATTGTATTCTAGAGCAAGGATAGGCAACCTGTAGCCTAGTCCATGAACAAGCTTGGTCCCTGCCTGTGCTGTAAATAAACTTTTATGGGAAGATAATCATGCTCATTCATTTATATATTGTCTATGGCTGCTTTTGCACTACAACAGCAGAGTTGAATAGTTGAAATAGAAACGACATGTCTTGCAAAATCTAAAATATTTACTATTTGGCTCTTTACAGGAAAAATTTGCCAATCCCTGATCTTGAGGTATATTTACTATTATGAGAACATGTTCTCATGTTTATCTAATAAATAAAAATAAGTTTCCCTAAAGCAAGTATAGTAAGGCTCCACTGTTGTTAAAAATATGTATATGGGGGGTGGGAAAGTATATGGAAGTAGGTACTCCAAACATTAAATATAGTTCTCTGAGTAAGGAGGTGGGATTATACATTTTATTTCCTACTTATGTTTCTCTATAATTGCTGCTATTTCAACAATAAACTTGAATCATTTCTGCAAAACGAAAAAAGTTAAAAGAAATTATGACAGAGAGAAAACAAGATGGGAAAATATTTTCCTTTCTTCTCATTCTCTCACAGATACGAATGAGAAAGGAATGCACGGGAAGAAAGAAAGCAAGAAGGCAAATGTGGTAGCAGAACTGTCACATGATATAGAGATCAACCTAGTTATTTAATTCCTAAGATAAATTGAGTTTGCAAAACTTAGAGAGACACGAGCAATCTTTGAGCCAAAGGTCAAGCGACAGCCTATACAGCGTGAGGAGGAGAGACCATGTGGCAGCAAATCTCACCTAGGAAAGATAATGAAGTATGTTGTAGGAGTGTTTAATCAATAGGTCTGTCCATCAAACATTTATTGCCTACTTAGTGCCAAGCATTTACAGTATCGTAGGGAATTGAATACAAAATGTAACACATAAAAAAATAAAAGTATTTATATGGCATTAGAGGTGAGATCGCTGAGTTTTCACTCAGACGCCAACAGGATTAACGACACTACACCCACCACTGAATCCCAGAGGGAGAGAGTTTCAGAAGACAAGCAAGGAGTCATGTGGCTACCTGTCGAGTTACAGTAAGCGAGAAGGATTCAAACAGATGTCCTTTTGGCAGCTAGATATAGGCCTTTGGAGTTTGGAGAGGAGATAGTAATTTGGGGATCGCTAATCAAAGAATAGGGTGCAGGAGATGGTGCACAGACATCATGCCGGAGAGAAGGGGGACAGGCAGAGGAAACTACTTCACTGACGAAGTCTGTAAACAAATGTGCAGAGACGGGGGCAAAACCAGGACAGAGTACTTGTTAAATGTGCTATAACATGATCTTCTCTAGTATTTAAATTTTTCTCAATATGAGCTGTTCCGTCACTTGTGCAGCTGGAAGCAGCCGCTCCGATTAATGACATATTCCTGTGTCCTACAGAACACAATCTTTCTTTGAACATGCTTTTGCCTACAATTTTTCAGCCTTTTTCTAAGCACAACACAAGCATTGTGCCCTTCCTCATTTGGAGCCAAGTGGTAAAGGGAACATGAATGGGAATCCATTTTTAGTTTTGTTTTGTTTTGTTTGGGCTGAAACACAAGCAACAGATGTGGTGATGCGGAAGAGAAAGGGATTCAGCAAATGCTGTCTTCAACTTAGGCGATTTTAAAGCAATGCCAAAAACACCTAGCATGTGCAGTTGGTCTTTGGAGGTCGATTAGTGACCAGCATTAGACGAACCTAAATAGCAAATGCCTGGACTGTGGTCCTCTGCTGAGGTCAGTTTGAATGACAAGGCTTGAGGGTTGAAGGCATGACCCTGCCTCATGGAGAAGCCAGCGGAAGTAGTAGACCAGACACCAGGCCCCAGGTTAGAAGGTCTGGCTCTGTCCCTCAAAGCAAATTGACCCTAGACAAATCTCTTACCTCTTTGAGTCTCAGTTTCCTCATTTTCAGAGTAGAAATAAATAATATCTGCCTTCTATACTTCATAGGACTTTCACAAATATATTAAAAGCATTTGGAGTATTGGAAGGAACTATAAAGTAGCAGTTAACTTTTTTCCAGATTTTCTGAGCTATAATCAATAAAATTATATAGTTAACATATACAATGTGACTGTCTGATATATATACATATGTACATGTGTGCATGTATATAGAGAGAATATAGGTGTATAGATATATATTGAAATAGATGCCACAATAAGGTTATCAAACGTCCATCACCTAACAATTACTTCTGTGTATGTGTGGGGGAGAATGCTTAATATTTATCCTCTTAGCAAATTTCAACTAAACAATACAATATCATTAACTATATTCATCATGCTGTATATTAAATCCTCAGAACTTATTAATCTTGTATCTGAAATTTGTACTTCTTTGATCAACATTTTCCTATTTCCCTACCATTGGCAAACATCATTTTACTCTCTGGTTCTAAAAGTTCAACTTTTTTTTCTAGATTCCACATATAGGTGAGATCATATGGTGTTTGCCTTTCTCTGACTTGTTTCACTAAGCATAATGTCCTCTAAGGACATCCATGTTGTTGCAAGTGGCAGGATTGCCTTCTTTTTGTGACTAAACAATAGCCCATTATATGTACATACCACATTTTCTCCATCCTTTGACAAATACATTGGTTGTCTCCAAATCATGGCTTGTACACGTAAACCAAAGCCACGATGGGCTAGCACCTCACACCTGTTAGGGTAGTTATTATAAAAAAAAAGACAAGAGATAATAAGTTTTGGCAAGGATGCTGAGGATGAGGAAGGCTGTACACTACTGGTGGGAATTAAAATCGATGTCATCATTATAGAAAACAGTATAAAGCTTCCTCAAAAAATGAGAAATACTGGCACTATATGATGGAGCAATCCCACTTCTGGGTATCTAGTGAAGGAAACAAAAATCAGTATATTAAATAGCTATCTGCTCTCCCATATTGGCTGCATCATTACACACAATGGCCTACATAGAGAAGCAACCTACATGTCCACCAATGGAAGTGATGCCTGACCACTGGAACTCAGGAACTAGAGTAATTTGCTTATGACATTGTGATAACCCTTCTCTTCCAAGGAAAAGGACAGAATTAAGCAGTTCCCCAGGTGAATGACCGGTTCCTTCCAGGTCTTGTGAGAAGAGCATGGTCTTCAATGAAGGGGCATCACACTGACACAGGTGCGTCCACTGCAAGACCCTCTCTCCTCACAGGCAGAGTGGAAGCAACAGCAATGATCTTGCAAACGTGCTGTCAGCGTGAGCAACCATGTGCCAAAGCACTGGCCCAATGCAGAGACAAGGGGAGTCCTGCAGATGTGAGCATCACTTACTTCAACACCACACCTGAAAAGTAGGGAGCTAGTGCTTATCCCAGTAGGATATTTCAGAACAGGCAGCCAACAATTCCAGCAACTCGATGTGTGGTTTTTACTTAAAACAAACAAAATCTCATCAATAATCTACTGGTAGAACCTATGTGACCCCTCAGTAAAGGAAACATATTCAAAGGATGAATGGCAGGACCTGTGTAGTATTTATAGCATGGGGCTAGAGTCCGAGCTGTCTTACCCATTCCCCAGTTAGATTCTGTGGGTCCCTGGAAATGAGTCTGCATTATGCAGAATTTCTGGGTCCTGGTTCCTATGGAAATACTGTCCCATCAAGGACGTTTGCAGATGTTTCTTCAGTTTCTTCCAAACTCTTTATAACACAGGTTGCAAACTGCCCTGGAAAAGGCCAGTTAGTAAATATTTTAGAATTTTCTTGACTATATGGTCAATCTCTGTCATATGCTACTCCTGTGTGTTAGCAAAAAAATGTCATAAAGAATTAATAAACCAATGATATGGCTTTAATTTTTGAACACTTGATTTTTGAACACTGAAATTTGTATTCTGCATAACTTTCACATATCACAGAATACAGCTTATCTTTTGATTTTTTTCTGAAATGTTTCAAAAAGTAAAAACCGTCCTCAGCTCCAGTGCTACACAAACTGTCATGGAGACAGACTAGGCCCAAAGGCAAGTAGTTTGCTGACCACTGTCTTAAAGTTGTAGCAGCTCATCAGTCACAGCAGATTTTTCTTCAGCTACTGACCTCTCCTTCCCAGGAAGGCAGTGAAGTTATTGATATTAATAATTCCTTCCAGGAAGGGAGAGCTCACTCCCATATCTCGTTGACAGGCTTTGTCATCTGTTTCCTTAATGAGCTCCTTGAAGGGGCTCATTGCCCTGAGTCATTTTAGCACCAAGGGTCATGTTCTCCCTTGACAGCTTTACTGCCAACACCATCACCCACGCGCCTTTTGTTGGCCATCATCTGTCATGGTTCCTCACCTATTGAAAAAGAGTGGGAAGTGGGGGCCTCAGGAGAGTCAAGAAGCAGACTGGTATATTCCCCGCAGGCTAAAGGGAGCACACTTTGCCCCTATGGTTTGACCAAAAAAAAAAAAAAAAAAGCAAGGTTATGATCTTCTACTGTACTGGTCAGCTAACCACAAGGAAAATGCTTGGTAATTACATTCAGTTCCATTATTTTAATATATTCTAGAATATAAAATAACTAGAGATAAACAGTCCGATATGGAAGCCACTCTGTATAGGGCTACTGTAAGGGAGGTTTTCCTTCATTTATTTTTAATGCACCTGCTTGGAAATTTCCCCTCAATGGGAAGGGCTTGTGTGTGCCCCAGCAGGGTCTGATCTGGCCACACAGTGAGGATCTGGGGAGGAAGGTTGTTAACCAAGACACCTTCTCATCCTCACTGCAGTCACTGAAAGGCCTTTTTTCCTCTCTCAAATGAACTTCAGCCAATCCAAGCGGATATTCCAAACTTAATTTCGGTTGCCACACATCTACCATTCTAAACACTGAAAGAAAAAACAATCCTTCAGCACATCTCCTCCATAGCTATGGAGAAAAAGATAAAATTCCAGAATAATTTCGCCTTTCCTTTTCTAAAATAGGCAATACAGTAGGCAAATAGTGCCCCCTCCCCCTCATATGTACATTTTAATATTCAAAAACTGAATGTGCTGCCTCATGTGGCAAAAGGGACTTTGCAAGTGTGATTAAGATAAGGGATTGGAGGTGAGGAGGTGATCCTGGATTATCTGGGTGTGCTCCATGTTGTCAAAGCTTCCTGTAAGATGGAGGCCAGAGGATCAAGGTCCGAGAAGAGATATGATCACCAAAGCAGAGGCCACAATGAAGTCGGGCCATGAGTTAAGGAATGTGGGCAGCATCAAAAAGCTGGACAAAGGAAGGAAGTGGATTGTCTCTGAGAGCCTCCAGGAAGAATATAGCCCAGGCAAATTATTTCAGACTTTTGACCTCCAGAAAAGTCAGAGAATAAATTTAAGTCACTCATTGAATTTTGCATAATTTTCACACATCACAGAATATAGCAATTTGTTATAGCAGCAAGAGGAAACTAATACAGGCAGCTGCTAAAACTGTCACAGATAAAGTGTAGTTTCCAATAAGTTTCTTTATCTCATAACACTTAACCTTACAGAACAAAAGGGAAGAGCTACTCTCTACTCTCTCATGTACAGTCCTTAAACCCCACAACCACCCAACATTTAAATAAAATGAGATATAAAATGGAAGGTTGAAGGGGGTGAGTGGGCAGTTAGAGAACACTGTAGTCATGTACAAAAAGCATTACCCAAGAGTCCTGCAAAAGATGAGATAGAAATGGAATGTGACTTATTTATAGCAAAGCCTGCCTCCCTTCTCAAGTGTGTGACAGAAGAGCTGTTTTAAAGTTTTATTCTTCAAACTTGGCTGCAGAACTTGGCTGCTTCTCAGAACTGTGCTTTTGTATTTAGCTTTAAAATATAAGAAGCAACCCATGGTTAAACTGTAGGCAGACTGGTACAGCAGGAAAAATGCTATGGGGAATGGAAAGAGGTTGAAATGTTATTCTTATTTAGTTAGTTGCTTAAGAAAAACAAATAGAGGATGAAATAGCAAATGACTTGGAGAGGCTCCAACTTGAAAATTTCTGAGTATCCCAGCATTGAGGCTCTAAAGATAAAGGTGATATTGCAAAGCTAGCCAGACACTAAGGCGGAGGTCTGCTTTAGAGGGAAAACACCTGAAGAAAACACCTGTCTCCAATTAGCAACCCCTTTCCTCTCTTTCTGTAGTTCAATGACACAAATTTTGACAACCCAAAGAAGACTATTCTGTATATGTAGAAACCAGTACTGAACCCATTTATATCAGGAGTTGAGACACAAGCCATGCCTTTTGGCCTAGGCATCCTAGTTTCATTATTAATAGCAAATAAGAGACCAAATAATTAAATTATTAATTTAATTATTATTCACTTAGAACATTATACAATGTTTAAAACTGTGATTATGGGCCTCCCCGGTGGCGCAGCGGTTGAGCGCTGGGTTGCGAAGCTGCCCGCAGCCTCTGTGGCGCCAGTTCGATCCCCGGCTGCTCCCCGCCCACCAGAGGAGGGTCCCACATGGCGCGCAGACCTCTCCTGCCGCCCGCTGCTCCCCTCAGCAGTGTACTTTGGTCCTTCTGCCTGGTCTGCTCCCCGCTCTGGCTCTGGTGAATTCTCTCACCCTCTCGCGCTTCTGACTGTACCCAGTGCATGTATAAACAAACAAACAAACAAACAAATAAATAATAAATAAAATAAAACATGCCTCTATTAAAAAAAATTTAAAAAAAAACTGTGATTATGATGACACTGATTAATGCTGAAAATATGAAAGGGAAACACATACAATAGTATACTATGATGACCCACTACATTAATATATGTTTTAACATATATATGTACTGACACATATATTTACATATGTATATTACAAATTAAAAAACTAGAAGGAAATAGACCAAAATGCTAACTGTAGTCACATTTGCCTGATAAGAGTGTGTGAGTTGTTTTGTTTTTTTTTTAAGATTTATTTATTTTTGCATACAAGAACTAGAGTACAGGCAAGAGGGGCGAGGGGTGAGAGGATTCACCAGAGACAGAGTGAGGAACAGAACAGGCAGACTGACTGAAATACACTGCTGAGGGGAGCAGCGGGAGAGTTAGGAGAGGTCTGCTGTGCCATGTGAGTATCTCCCTGGCCAGGGATCAAACTCGTGCTGCAGCGGCTGCAGACAGCTTCATAGGTTGCTTCTTAACCCCTTGCACCACCAGGGAGGCCCAAGAATGTGTGAGGTTTATTTTTTTGTTCAGGCTTTGATACTTTTAAGATGAAAACAATTATTTTTTAAAAGAAAAGGAAAAAAGAAAATCAGTTGGCAGAAAGCTTAGTTTTACCAATACCTTACATGTGAGTTTCAGAACTAAAAATATTTTATGTTTTATTGCTTCAGGGTCTCCACATGAACAATGAGACTATTATTACATTAGGGATAACTCCTATATTTAGTATTATAAAATATACTTCCTCCTAAATACAGATTATGTTTTCTTATCACCACACCTTTGCTCACACAACTCCTATCACCTAGAATCTTTTCTTAGTTCTTTCTGACAGACCAAAACCTGCCCTTTCTTAAAGACACAATTCAAGTTACTCCTCTTCAAATTTCTCCTTTCTCTGTAAGCCCAGGCTGCCTACATCAACCTTTCTAAAATCAATTACAAACAGCCTTGAGATATGCTTTTTGTTCCTTTGTTTACATAATTCAATTTGTTTAAAAAAAAAATTGCAGACTTTACAATAAGGCAAACCTAGACTCAAGTCCTAATACCAGTTATTTTTACCAGTCATTATCTTTCTGATCTTTAGTTTCCTTATCTGTAATATAGGATGATCACCACCACCTATCTAAGAAGCTGTCTGATAATTAAATGATTGCCTGTGTGTACAGAACCTGGTACAGTACCCGGTATATAGTGAGTGATCAATAAGTACGAATTTTCTTCCTTAATCCTACGCCACTCTTGTTCTTCCCATCTAGATTGTAAAGTTGCCTAGGACAGGAAACATGTGCTATGGCCCCCACATAACAGTGTGTCGAGAATGAAGTACAATGCTTTGCCAGAAGTAGAAGTTCAATTCATACACTGTTGGATTGGTATTTGCAAGAAGCATGAAGCTTCAGACAGAGACAAAATAGAAACTGTTATGGTTGAACTGTGTCCTCCTAAAAGATATGTTGAAATCCTAACACCCAGTCTGTAGGTTTCTGATCTTATTTGGAAATGGAATTTTTGCAGATGTAATGAGCAAAGTGAAGATGGAAGTCTTAACTGGACTAGAGTAGGGTGTGCCCTACATCCAATGACCCGTGTCATTATGAGAAGATCCTGTGAAGACACAGAAGTAGACACAGAAGAAAGGGGGCCGTGTGAAGACAGGCAGATACTGGAGCGATGCGCTACAAGCCAAGGAACACCAAGGATAGTTGCTGTAGCCACAGGAAGTTAGTGACAAGGAAGAATTCTCCCCTAGAGCCTTCAGGGGGAGCATGGTCTGGCTAACACCTTGATTTTAGACTGTAAGCCCTCTGAACTGTGAGAGAATAAATTTCTCTTGTTTAAAGCCACACAGCTTGTGGTAATTTATTACAGAAGCCTTAGAAAACTAATACAGGAATGGTCAGAATCGTTATACTGACAGATATAAGCTACTTCCTGACTGTTTTTGGAGCCAAGTAAGATTTCCTCCAAATAAGGCTTCTTTTCAGATCTATTTCAGATAAGAGATATTTGCCTGACACTGGCCCCTTTTCAGATTGCAGAGCCAGGTTGGGATGAATAACTGTCTTTCAGTTCTTGTAATGACACAGCGTTTCAGTGGCATCTTCGACTGCTATTTTTCCCCAGTGACTGGTGATCCACCACTCTGGCCCAAATCCTGGACACTAGCCTCAAATCCCTCTCTCTCACTCTCCAAGTCAACAGTGCTTCCTAAACACACTGAAAGTTTCTCTCACTTTTCTTCATCTCTTCCACCATGACCAGGGACCAGTAAATCATTCTGGAAATGTCCTTTCTGAAACATATTAGAGAGTAAACAGAGGTTATAAGAAACAGACCCATCTCCTTCAAAGGCAATGATCTGAAGTTCTACTTCTGGCAATGGCTAACTAATGTTTCAGAAACACTCTCTTGCTGAGAAAGACGGGAAAATGTTTTGTTAAAAATATTTGAGGGATGGGCCTTCACTGGTGGCACAGCGGTTGAGCGCTGGGCTGTGAAGCTGCCCGCAGCCTCTGCAGCGCCGGTTCCATCCCTGGCCACCGGCCAGGGTTCCACATGACCTGCAGACCTCTCCTGCCGTGCCCACTGCTCCCCTCAGCAGTGTACTTCAGTCCTTCTGCCTGTTCTGCTCCCCCACTCTGGCTCTGGTGAATTCTCTCACCCTCCCACGCTTCTGACTGTACCCAGTGCTTGTATAAATAAATAAATAAATCTTTAAAAAAAAATATTTGAGG